TATATAATGTTATTTATAAAGAATTACACTCATATTTTGTAGTTCAAAGGGTTTTCTTTACAATGAAACCTTTTTTTTTCATTTCCTCCATTGTATGTGTGTAGGGTAAACATTTGAATTTGAGTATGTCAAATTTAGGCGAAAATACCAAAAACGTCCCAGAGAATAAGTTTAAAAAAAGAAACGAAATATAACCACTTTTCCATTATACACAAAACTGAACTATTTTAATAGCCGAAACGGTAGTATAAGTTGTTTTGGGAGAAGGGGAAAAAAAGATGGGCTCGGGCCGAGAATTCTGATGAGCTGTCGGATAAGGCCGGGCTATAGGGCCTATATTTGAGGACCGTGCAGGGCTCTAGTCCATTTCATCCAACGCTGTTTTGTTCTCTGTTGTTTTTATCTGTGAGCATGCTCTTGATAGATTTATTTTACCATTTTGTTGAGTTTAAAACATGACACATTCGTTCTGCTCTCACTGATCATTTGGTCCTCCCCAAAAAAAAAAAAGAAAACTGTGCGTACCCTCGGAAGAAATCCTGCAGGCCCTTCTTGCTGTATTTAAATTTTTTTATTTATAACTTTATTTGAAAAGGGACCATGTACAATTTAACATAAATGTTTCCATTTCATGCATTGTACCGAATTTAGCCAATGGCTAATTTTCATCCGCGGTCCCTTAAATAAGTAATTAAAGAAAATCGTTGTAGGCTATTCGGCTAAGTCGTTCTGAGTGATCAATTAAAAAAGTTCCCACCTGTATATCATGAATAAACAAAATAACATGTAATTTACTTGAGGTTCTGCTGAATTCTCCTGAATGACTGTTATTAAAAGTAATTTAGTCATTTTGATCACGGCTGCTGAAACATCAGTGTGTATATCTGGACCGTGAACTTTACCCCAATACTTACTTTATTATTACATGTTTTCAACACAGAAATACTAATCTTTTAATGATTAATCGTGCATATGTAGATCTATATTTGTGTGTCAACTTTTTACCAGACCTCAAAGTAACCCATAAAGTAAACCAGCCCCCGCTTCCGCGATCCATGCCATTTTATTGCCTTTTTAGGAGGACAAATTGGTCTTTCAATGTTCCTCACTTAAGTTTTTTAAAAACATTAAAAACATGCATAAA